TGCCAGGAAAGTATGCCGATAAAGGTCCACAGAGGATGGGCACAAAACCGAGTTACCACAAGTAAAAAAACAGTCACGAGGTAGGACAGTGCGCTGACTATGTGAATGCAGCATTCTACCGTGTACACTAGTAATAGAGAACTGAACAATTCTGAAAATAAGCAGTTAACACGACGTTTGAGTTGGAAATGCTAACGCGCCGGTAGATCAATGTAAACCATTGGGTGGACTTTGTGAATGAGTATTTGATGCAAATATCAGTTGGCATAAATTGTGTTATCAGGTGCTTTAGCACCCGGACACCTAGTAGTTTCGTCTTCTAAAGCAACACAAAGTTCCCATGCCACACGAATAGTCTCCGATCATTTCCAAAGACGGAGGCCCGTCTCATCTCGCAAGGATTAATTTCCTATGTGTGGGATCCACGGTGCTCGCCTTCCTGATCCTACGCAGGCTAAGTAGAGTAAGTGATCAGGCCAGAGCTGTAGTAACCACAAGTTTACGAACTTCCAGCTACTAAGCACGGCCATGCATTCAGCCATCCCATCATGGTTTGCTTCCTAGAAATATGCGCGGTTTTTGACTTGGTTGACGTGTGCTCTCTGGTTTTGGTTACTGAAAACTGGGGTGCCTGAGAGGTTTGTTAACATTCCCCAAGCAGGTTATGCTTCAATCTCGGGCCACGTGCAGGTATACGGGGTGATCGTTCGCAATCCTTCGATATCACTAGTTTTGTGCAACATAGTTGAACCACATCATAATTTCTGTCTAACTTCGCTGACACATTGGAGAAGGCTCCGGAAAATTGTGACGTGGCGGCGTCCAGTTGCTCCCGGATCACCGATTTCGTGACTTGGAGTAGGCCGACGACATTGCTATAAGCTGTAATTTTTCGTACGTTGTCCAGGTCATGTTGCGCAATTGTGAGAACTCTATCTCACACGCCGGAACGACCTTTGATCTAGTTAAGTGCGACGTTTCCCTTCAGGACTGGTTAGTAGCTACTCATCAACTAAGCGTGACCTGCCTTTCCCTGAAAGATCGGATCTATAACGCGATGGTGCGAACAGTGCTTCGGCACGTCAGCGAGACCAGGTCTGTTCACACGAGCGATGTTCAGACTATGTTAGTGTGCATTGGTAGCAGTGCATTAGTAAGGAAGAAGTTCGTCGTTGGATTTTCAAGTTGGACACAGTCTATCGATCACTGGGTTGCAGTTTCCCTGCACAGACTCGAGCATGCATTACGTACGCTTGCTCAATGGTCGCCCCAGCACGCTCTCGATGAGTGCACCAGTGTCGATTGGATTCGATAGAAAGGTGGCTAACTTACGATGCAAGTACCGAGTGCCACCTGGAGGAAAACAGATGAACTTCTACTCACTATTGAATGTACCTGAATTGCCACATATCCGCGGCTTGTGACGGAAAGAAAAAACATTATACTACCTTGTATCCAAGGAATTTCTGAGATAAATAAATAAATGATTATTCGCGACTACGCGAAACACGCCCTAGAGGCATGATCAAGTAGCGGTTTGCAATGCCGTACGGGAAAGATGTTGCACACGAAGCAACGGAAACAATTCGGAGAAACATATGAGTGTAAAAGACCAAATGAGTAATAAAGAAACGGTAGGTGTGATTTACGAAAATTTTGCAAAAATTGTGACAAGTAGTACTTGGGGCAGATAGGAAGGAAACTTGGCACAACACCACGAATATAATTTAGCCATCCGCCGCCATGATGAGAAATCGCTAATACCAGCAGTTATGAACGCCCAGGATGACCAGTTCGATCGGGAAAACGTCAAGATGCTTAAAAGAGGAAGGAACCATAGGGCGCGTGAGTTTATCGAGGCATAGTATTAGGGTTAGGATTTAATGCACGAGCACCTGTAGCTAAATGGGTCTAAGAAGCCCTGCAGGTTAACAATAGGTATCAGATCGACAGGACAAAGGCGTGATCACTTGGTCAATCTACGTGAGCCAATCGAAGGGTGACATTCAGAGCAGAAAACGAGCACTAGTCACTCGGATCTGGTAGCGGCTTACGAGACTGCGAATTAGATATTGATAGCCACGCAGAGGATGTTGCCTAGTTCGGCAAGGAAATGCTTAAGTCGGAGAAGAGAACAACGATCTCATCGTTCAGACATTGCAAAAGCTACAACTACACACATGAAGCAGTGTCAACCATGGAAACAGTGAGGTATGAGTCTTGGCTGTATGTACAAGATCCCGGTAGAGTTGCACTCCTTGAGGAGAGAGATTCGATCCAGAGAGCCCATGCACTTTCAGGTCCACGTCCATTTCATCTGTATGCAGCTGAGCACTAGGCGATGAAGATCGAGACAGACTGACGAAATGACAAACAATAATGAATAATTTTTTGTAGAAAGTAGAAGTCACGATTAAAATTCACGCACAATAATGTGCCTCAACGGGGAATCGAACCCCGGTCCACGAATTTCCGGTCAGCTGCTCTACCACTGAGCTACTTTACACTTCTCACCAACATCCAAAAATTAATCTACCATCGCCCATCCGAAGGACAGGTACTTCGCTCCTTTGGGAAGTGCCGGGTGAGTGAGACAATCCGCAACACCAGGACAGGTACTGTGAGCTTATTGGCAATACGTCGCGCACCAAGCAGAAGTCATGTGTTGAAATTTGCGCACCTAATCGTCAGCCCTCGGTAGCTCAGTGGTAGAGCAGCGGATCGGAAATTCGTGGACCGGGGTTCGATTCCCCGTCGAGGCACATTATTGTGCGTGAATTTTAATCGTGACTTCTACTTTCTACAAACTTTACACTTCTCACCAACATCCAAAAATAGTGAATAAGTTGCGGTGGCATGGATGCGCACTAGGTACGACCACCCACTCTTTACCAAAGGAGATCATGTTTGCCTGATTCAGAATGGTAAAATCCGAGGTAGATAACTGTTGACCTGGTAGCAGAAAATGAGGTCATCGATGACTAAACTGCGTGCCGCTAGTCCGACTCACGAGATGAGATTAATAAAAAGCGCCCAGTCCTTCATCTTAGACGATACAAGGCATATGTGGTAACTGGTACCAATGGCGCCTTTGCCGTGGTCTCCTAGTGGGATTGATCATCTAAGATTTATAGGATATGAGGTTATATATGAGGTAAAGATGATTACGAAGCCGTCCAGTGAAAGACAGAATGAAGCTCTCCCGCCTAGTTCGCACAACTTTATGTTATAGCAGGACTTGGGATCTTCGGCTGTGAAAAGTTGCTTGTAGATTCAAGCTTTACAATAGGTCCCTTTTCACGCCTCGCACCGTTCCTTGACAGTAGCCACAACAGTTTGATGGAGATATATGATGTAACTAAATGAAGGCTCATCGCGGTTGCTTCAAAGTCACAGTTTTTTACAAGGACGGAAAAGCACTGGACGGCCGCCAGATTGTAAGTTTTGACAGTGCACCCCCTTTTCAGGTGGCTTAGTGGTATAAGTTGCTGGTTAGTGGCGTAAGACAGATCTTGATGGAGCCGATAGACGCGCGCGACCGAGGAGTCATCGACAGAACGAAACGATCACCTAGTGCTTTACCGAGCATGTGGGGGACTATCGGATTGGAAAGCTGCAACAAGCAAGCACCAGTTAGTTGATCGTAACGGTCGTATGACAGCCTGAAGAGTGGAGAGAAAATAGCACTACACCGCTTCGTTGCCATAGCGCCACTAGTGGTCGCATGCGGGTTACGGATCCTTGAAGTCACCCGCACCTATGCGGGCTCGAATCGGTGACCTGTGGAATGCAAGCACTTGATCACTGGCCAAGTTGTGACAAATTAGTACACAGCACTCACGTATTGCTGCTGCTAAGGATAACTTAGTGGTGCAGCCATCTGAGGTTGGTCAATCTGCACAACCAAGTGTATGGGACACAGCTGCATATGCGGCATATCAACAGATAGCTACATCTCTGCACGCACAGGTGCCGCGGTGGATTGTCGTCATTTTCTCCGAACACCCGTCTCGGTGTGTATTGGTTACCCTTATTATGCCTGGATGGAAAGATGGTCACTCGATGATGTGGAAAAACGATATATGTACATGGGCCGAGAAATGCTCACGCTGTTCACGCCGTCTTTCTGTATGTAGCACACGTGGTCGACCACGGAAGGGATCTTTGTGGCCTACGGCTTGATGGTACTCTCGAATTTGATGCGCAGAATCTGAATGGTAAACACAGCGTTTAGCGATTGATACTTTCAGACTTTTGGTGATATCCTCCCCCCCTATTCCAAGATACTTTATCAGAATGTCACTGAGTAACATTACGAGGGAAAGACGAATATTGAAAACTCCAATCAACGAACTTCGGGGCCCGGATCACATTTAAGCAGCATGATAACGGGAGCAATCTCGAAACTGGGATTTGTTTGTTGGCTCAACTGTGTGGACCTAGTGTGTCTATACGAGAATGGTGAGTTGGCTGAGGAGTGCACTCTGCCTTAAAGCTCAAGCATAAGGCAAGTCATGTTGGTAAAGGTTAAACATCGCGAAGCGCTTGAGCTGTCAGTCTCGACAAATACAAAGTCTAATACGAAAACGTACTGCCCAGAAACCCTTTCCATTCATTATTGGGAAAATAAATGAATATGACTGGAATAAAAGGGACCAACCTACAACTACATCATGTTCTCAATCAAGATGAGCATATAAGAGGCACCTAAACTGAAGCCGTATCGAATAGTAGAGCAATATAGTCCAAAGTACGATATGAGGATAATTTAGGGATTCGTTATCGTAGTGTGACGGCTCATACGTTACGCATGCAAGCTCTGTGCGCTGAGGTCGAGTCAACACTTTTGCCTAAGCCCGGATGCCTCCGTAATATCACACACATTTACGACCACTTGCTGTGATATGGTAGGGAGGCACTAGCCCACAGCACCGATGAGTGGCTGGGACATCGCTTGGTTAAGAAGTGAGCAGTAAAAGATGGAAAAGGTGCGATCTAGCCGAAAGAACGTGTTGGGCGTAACGTGCTAAATAGGCTCAATTATTAACCGATAATGAGTCAACAATAGAGAACCCTAAAGATTGACTGTGAATATAATTCCTATCCAAATGATTCATGCGTACATAGCAGCTGGGCAGGTAATCCGGTAATCTATCGTGTTGCGTGCGCATAACAACAGAGTGTCATCTGGAGCCTGAATAAGCAGAATCAATTGCGATGGAGATTATACAACTATGAGAACCGGTGCAAAATGACAAGAGTTGCAAACAGCTGCCAGTATGGAATCCGAAGGTGGTGGTCGCCCAGGTTGATGAAATGGGGGCACATGTCATCACAGTTGAATGAAACAAAACTCATCGGGTGCCTAGAAAGCATGATCTTTCAATGTGTAACGAATCCGAGTCAGGAGAGAAAGCAACGTGAGTAATCGGTGATGGTGATTATGGGCACCGGGATAGCGCGCGCGCGCGGTAAGTGATGAAATGTGGTGGATGGGCCACCTCACATGCGTACGTTGCAATCACGAGTCGCTGTGTTACAGACAGAACGGAGAGGCATGCGACGTACTAAAAGCGAAAAACTGGTGCCGCGATATCAAACAATGAATACGAATGAAATCAAGGAGGAAACCGTCTCGATCATTGTTTATATACAGATTCGCACACGCAAATGATGTGAAAAAATAGCAGGGTACAATGCGATTTGAAAAAAGATGTCGCATTGAGTTAAACAAATATTCATCTGAAAGCATCGTTTGGTCAGTGTGAAGCAAACAAAATGAGGGTCGAATCAGATTTCAAAGGTTCCAAGTTTTAAAAAAATCACAAGTGCTAAAAAATCGACACCACTATTCACTGATGAGATAGAACAGTGCGTTAAATCTGATGCATCCTGTACTGAATGTGCTCAAGGGCATGGAGGACGACGTTACGGAAACAATAAGGGAGCGGAGGCACACGTTAGGCACAAATACTAATCCAGGCTGGCGCTTCGAGAATAAAGTTCCGTTTGTGCATTCAAAACAGAACAGGTGAGAAATGACCCAGCTGACAAAATGTACAGCGAAAGAAATGGAAGCCACTATAGAACGCGTTACGAGACATCAACCATTTTCGGAGCCAGGTCACCATAATTTCTGGACCGGTCGCGATTGAGCGGTTTGTGTTTTGTTACATTCAAAGGAGCGGATGGTGAAGAAGACACCATAGAAGCGGGTGCCCTAGTTCTTGGGCGTCTTGGGGCACCCGTACGACTACCGTCCCCGAATGCGGCACCTGATTTCAAGGCCTCCATCAGATTGTCTATGACATTGTCTTCTTCTTCGGCAGGTCCACGATGACCGGTAGCCAATATGGCACCATGCGCCTTCGCCTCCTTCTCTTGCTCACGACGCAACTGCTCTTCGGCAGCTTTGCGGCGTCTTTCCTCCAAAGCCCGTCGCTTGGCGTTGTCCTGTGAAGCGCGAACGTAAGCAGAGTGAAACACTTTCATATCACTGAACAAATTTTCAATGTGATACTTATTTGGATCAAAAGTCAAGTACTTAGACACACCTTCGAAACGATCTTTCAAACAGTCAAACATAGTTTCGAGTTGATTCAGCTGACCGCGGGCAGTTTTACAAAATGCGGACATTACGTCGAAGTATGCGTCGTCCGGCTCTTGTGGTTTGTAAGTGCGTAGCTCATTCTCAATACCTGTTAGGGACTTTTTCATCTCCGCAATGCTGGCCTTTGTATTGTCCTCAGAATAACGGCACGCTCGGTCGATGTGAGAAAGATCCTCAATGATACCTTTAGCGGTTTCCGGAAACTTGTCATCCAAGTATGCCGCGATGAAATGCAACAAGGTCTTTTGATTAGCCACATCCTTGGTGGCTTCCAGTTTGGTTAAAAAACTGATTTGAAATCCCAAGGACTGGGCGTTCCGAGATCCTGCGTTCATGTAGTTGCCGAGTAGTAAAACCAATTCCAGAATGCGCCGTAGGTGTCTGCTGGATCGAATTTCCCGAAGCGCCTCGTCAGCGTCCACGATGTCCGGTTTGAGCTCATCTCGTTTCTCATCGAAGCGTAACTTGAACAGAATGGCATTCAGACGCGGAATTAGTTTCTTGATGCTTCCAATAACACATAAAAATTGCTCTGGATCAGAGAGATCGTCCAATTCATCTTTAAGTCCGACAATTTGACTGATCACAGACTCTTCAGGTAAGGTTCTGAGCAACTGATCTACGACGTCTGGGGTGAGTAGTGTCTCGTCGATAGTAATTAACCGCCGGCGCATTTCCAGGTGAGACACTTTGAGTGACCCAAGGAGAATGGACAAATTTTGAGCTGTTTTACTATCCAGGAACCGTAGAGATTTGGCCTTTTTCGCATAAGCAGGTCCGCCCATACAATCAGTACCATTAACTGTAGACTTATGATTGATGAGCATTTTCACGGGTTTGGTGCTAAATTGTGCTTTCAATGTTTCAAAAAGCTCATCTGACTCCATCTCATCTTCCCTCAAATGAACCCAGATCGAGTCAGGTGACAACTTATCGGGGGTGATTTTGTCCCAGTTGGCCTTCTTTAAAGGAACGTCAGTGGAATACGTTTTTTTCAACTTCATTCCAAACGGAAGCGCTGCAACAGTCGGAGCAGAAGGTGGTGCCTTGACTCCCAAGGGCGGAGGTGGAGGTAGACGAGGGACAGATGCGCCAGGAAGTGGGGGCGGTGGCGGGATTGCCGAGCTCTTAAGAGGAGGTGGAGGGGGAATAAGGCCACTAGGCAAAGGAGGTGGAGGAGGAATGGGGCCAACACCCAATGGAGGAGGAGGAGGGATCGGGGCACCGCTCAGGGGAGGTGGAGTAGGGATGACCCCGCCTGGTGGGGGGCGGAGTTTATCCTCCAGGCCCTCTGGAGCCTTGACCTTACCATCAGGAGGAGCGCCATATGCTTCCAACTGTTTCTGCAAAGTGTGGATAGTCGCCTCGGCTTCCAGTTTGGCCCGCAATGCCTGGTCTAACTTCTTTTGCAGCTCACTATCACGTTCTGATGAATCTGTTTGCTTCGCTTCTTCCAACAAGGCCGCAACTGTCGCTTCCACATCCAGTCGCAGTATAGCGTGGCGGGGGTCCGGATCAAAACCATCTACCTGCATCACCACTTGACTGACAAGTTCCTCCAGGATCATGAAGTAAGCCAATCGATAAGGTTCATCGCGAACAAAGAGCAAATGCTGAAGCAAAGAAAGGAACTTCGTTTCGGATTTTGTGCCCGAAAGTGTTCGATTGATGAGCTGAAACACTTGATTCGCATCATCCAGGTCACATTTGACCGCATCAAAACGGTCAAACAACGCATCCATATCTTCCTCTGCTTTGGACTGGTATATGGAAATGTGCTTTTGAATACCCTCGTCTGGCGACTGGCTCAGCTTCTGTAGCCTCTCTCCAATGCCCAACTGATTTAACTCCAGGCGAAGGTGGATGCGATAGTCCACATCAAATGAAATGTCGGTCAGACAACCACGATTGACCAACACGTTGATCAGTTGCAAAGAAACTCGGGCCAAATCAGGTGAATCCAGGGCTTTCAATAGTGGGACAAATCGATCACCTGGAGTACCAGATAACTCTGCATTGTAGGTCAGACCCTCGATCACTTTTTGGTAACCCTTCGCATCGCACAATGCGATGCTAGAGAGTAATTCGATTGCACAATCCATCATCTGTGGTTGATCTGTCTCCAAGCACCGTGCGATGAAGGTAGACGCGGTTTCATGATCAACCAGGGCGTATATACCGTATCCGCAATTGCCAAATAGACGAATGCAACGCAGGCAGTACAATGCACACCCCGGATAGTAGCCAGCCAACGCACGAGCAAGGAATCGGAGCAGACAATCCAGACCTTCATTCTCGGGACTGTTGAAACTTTTAATCCAGCTGACACCGTTACTGCGCAATCTAACCATCAAGTCGTCGAAAGTGTGTTGCAAGTGTTTGACGGAAAAGTTGTGTGGGTTTCGTAGTATCTCAATGAAGTGATCGGGACCGCTGTTCTTCGAAGAAGTTAAATTTGCTCGATGATTCAACAACATGTCGTGCTTGAATTTGATTGGTTTGTCATGAAGCGATTTCGCTTGCTCCGCGCTCAAATTCATGTCCTCCAGCATCAGATTAAATTGCTGTTCAATCTCCTCGTTGGTGAGTTTTTCGAGCCACAGTGCAGCGCTAACCTGAGCATCAGATCCCTTCCTTCCATCACGCTTCTCCTTATCCTTGTGACCATGTCTCACACTGTCTCTTGTGGCGAATAATTTAAACTTTTTATCCTTCTTTTCCATCCCGTTTAGGTCAGGCTAAAAAACCAATAAGAAGACCGTTAGAAAGCGTGCTATGAACGAATAAGAGAACTAGTCGAAATGGAAGAGAAGATGAGTCATCTTGAACGACACGGTGGAAATGCAGTCGAGTGGATAGCACAGTATGTCACAAAACATGAAGGTAAAATGGAGGAGTGAGTGAGTGAACCAACACCGGAACGACTGGGAAAGATTCGTGAAGGGGGATAAAATCCGCGATAGTGTTAATGGGAGAAAAAGAATCAGGGTCGAAAATCACCACTCCAGAAAGCTGACCAAAAAGCAAGGAACATTCAAAAAAAGACTGATGAGTACAGTGAGTGAGACAAGAAAAAACGACGGCGTGATTAACGGCAGTCGATCGATAAATGAGTGAAATGCATTAATATTATCTTGCTAGTGAGTTCCACAATTGTACTTCGAATAGAGTTAGGCGAACGATACTCGTATTTGTGTATAGTAATCATGGCATCGGAACAATGGCAATGTGATGATATGAAAAGCTAAGACTCAGGAGAAATACGGCATGTTCAGCGACAAAAATTGTCTGCAACCGTGTGAGTCTGCCTCGCGTAAAACCGGCGAAAGTGAAGCTAGAGGTAACGTCTTTATGTCGCGGCACACTTTGGAGCCTAGTTAAATAGCCGTGATACAAGTTACGTGGAATAATGAACAAAGAAACCAATACAGTGAATGTGCAAGCAGTTGTACATCGGAATAATACATGTATACCTAATACACTGAAGATCACGTCCTCTTTGTGGTGTGTACAACATTTATTGAGAAGTATCCGTTTGAACACCATTAACCTCACAACAAATGTTGTGAAGAAATGCATCTTCGGAGGGCCTGATACGCTGCCAAGAATACAACTCCTAAATGTGATATCGAAGGATCTAACAGCTATATAGGGGTTAGATCCTGCCCGACTTTCAGGTGTAGTGGCTTCGTAGTAAGAAAAAAAAGACGGGCGTGCCAAAGTGGATGTAATCGTCGCATCCAAAATAGGAGCATCGCTTCATCATCCAGTTCACTTACACAAATGCTTTTTCGGCACCGTTTACACATCTTTCGAACAGCAGAAACTTGTCATCGTTGATGGGTGTATGGCAATCTTGCAACTGCCCACCATAATTGCATCGTTGGGGACTAGAAGGTTTCATGCAGTACCCCGCAGCAACCTAAAACAGGTGGTGAGAATACTGCGCTTGTAGAGCCGCTGCTGCATTCATCTGGTCTTCAGCCGGTCGCTCTGTGTTCCTTCGGAATGGATACGGTTAGAATGAATCGGACATCAACGAAATATTTGGGGTAACATGATTCGAAGAACACTGGGATACTCAATCAAGGGTTGGCAAATGACTTAATCGCGAGAGAACTATGGTATCAGCCAAAGATTAAACTAACAGAGTGACGTCCGCTAAATGAGATAAGGTACCACCAAGTGATGCAGCTTGTCAGGCTACAATCAACTGATTGAGACGGTCTTAAGGTGACCACATATAGATAGACGCTCAGGGATAATGGTTGCAGTCAGAAACGGATTGTGTGAGTCAGTAGGATGTCGCGATAAGCAAGCCGATGCGGTTCACTTAAACCACGATTCAAGCAATAAGGTGAGATGATTCAGGCATCAATCATTCGCACAGCCGTAGATGAGGAAAACTAAAGAAATCAAGCGAAAACAAAGCTATAAAAGCAGATTAGCTGAAGATGTAAATAGCAGATTTTGAGTTGAAAATCAAATTCAACAATACGAAGGAAATCGCGAATGTTACTATGAGGATAAGCGCCAAGTCAAGGTCTTACTAATGTGTTTTGACGCGCCCTGATCTATTCAAGCGGTTCTCCTTCACCGCGTCGTGTGGTCAGTTGGTGATCGCGGAGCTTCACACCATCATCATCGACGTACAACGAGACGTGGGAAGTTGGTGAGAAAATGAGGAGCACCAATCAGACAAGAATGGGGAATCGAGCTATTGGTGAACCAAGAAAGTTTGACAGGGAACGCCACTCGGCAAACAATAGTACTGGGAAGGCTTCGTGGACACTGGTAAACGCAAAAATGTGTCATTCGATGTCAGGAGTTCCGTGTAATCCCGGATAAACAAATAACTGCGTTTATGTCAAACTTGCAGTTACAACCACAGCTGCTAGTTGTGTCAGTTGTACGCTGTAACGGCGCTTCGCTGCCGCGCGACCACCACCAGTCGCGCGCGGGCTGAGTATACCGCAATGACGCCCACCCCTACGCGGATACGAACCGGTGAGCTTATAGTTGCAAACCAGGCGCGTAGAACACTCAGCCAATGGCCGACACAACAGCCAGTGTAACATAAACAAAAAACATGTTCAACGGATTGGCTATCAGATTAAGGTATCCGGGACCAATAGGATAAAATGTTTGAGGCTTTTGAAGTTCAATTCAGGTGTCTCCGATTTCTAGAACTGCTACGAAAGTTGGTAGCACTGAGCTGATTCAACCAAGCTGCGAGCAAGCGTTTCAGAGCTTTGTTTAGAATTTCTCCATTGAAAAGGGTTTGTCTTTGAATCAATGGTGTTCAGTATTGCGGAATGGCGGTGGGTATCTCACTGATTCATAGGATGCAAAAGGCAAAGTCACACCGGAAGTGCTGATAAGCGCATACACCGCAGTCTCCATATCAAGACTTAAAGGCTTGGGTGAAGGATGCAATCAGTAGACGTGATTAGATTAATCATTAGCTGAACCGATCGATCATCTCCGGCGGTCGCCCAATGATGGTGAAAACATGGCAAGTCCTCAATTCATCTCCGAGGCAGCACCAAGCACAGTGAAGGCACGAGACACGTGACAACATGTGCTAGATTACACTGCAAAATAACTGTATTCAAATACGGTTGGTTTGCTAGTAAATCCCATAGGAGGATTTTAATTTCAACTGAAAATTAGGTAATCCTCTGCGATAACCCTGAACAGACACTTTAATACGAATGGAAGAGCGAGATAGCTTTAAGGCTGTTAAGCCAGAAAGCAAATCCGCGGGGCAGGCGTAAGACAGGAATCATCCCATTGGTTAAGTGGGAAACAGTACAGGTTAGAAAAAAATTGAAAACGACCATAAATTCAGCCATTCAACATGTCCCACGCACAATGATCGGCACTCGAAAAGGCTTTTAGGAAAGCTCCAGTTGTGGTTACCTGACACATTTTCCCCAATACAGGAGCCGTCGGATGTTCATACGTAATAAGAAAACCAAAGCTAGCGTCAACAGAAGAGTTAACCACATCCTAAATTACGAAGGGTCTAGAAGATCACTCAAGGTAAGACAAAGCAGTTCGCGCAAGAATGAAAGAAGAGATCGGCATCAGCAGTAATGCGCGACATAGGCTGACGCTTCACTGCAGCGCTACCACCACCAGTTGCACGTGGACTAAGGATACAGCGAGGGTTTCCATGACCATATGCAGGTTAGAACATGCGTCCTCAGATTACAAGACAGGATTGTGACGCTTAAGGTTATGTGCGGGAAAGAAAGTAGGATCGAATTGGGACACAGCTAGTAAAAAATAAAATGAGCGAGTGACGTTAGCTGGTGCGGATAGGTATGCTACTGTGACGAAACTGACTTTTAACAAGGCGTCATGATTTGCATGCAACAGTGATCCACTAAAGCTATGTTAGCTGGTACTTTTTACACCTTCAAAATCACATTAGTCGGTGGCTAGAGGCCAGACAAACATACAGATTGGTGTTTAGAGTCAGGGTTCTACCTTATTCCAAAAAAGAGACTCGCTATTGCCAATTACCAAACTTCTACTGCCTTTCATACAAGGGTTTTAAATCATAGGCTTTGGTTGAAAACCCTAATCGTTCTCCAGCACGGCTCCGAACAAACTTCTTGTCTCGTAGCCTAAAGGTAACAAGCTTGTCTAGTAATGTGAGGGCGCAGGTTCGTGCCTGCATTAGAACGCGGCGACGCACGCAGTATCCTTAGTCACGTGTGAGTGGTGGTGGTTGAGCGGCAGCGAAGCATCGGTACCGCGTACTGCTGGGCTCAGGTAAACTGACAACATATTGCCCACATAATACAATGAATTTCATTTTAAACAATCCCTTGAGGCTCTGAGTATTGTAGATGATACCAAAAGGCGCCCTATCTGTCAAATTTAACAGAGTGGATAGGTAAGGGGATGGCTACCGCTCAAGCTATTCCGTCTTGTTATTCCACCTCAGGCGCCTATTAATCTCAATGGCGTCGTTCCAATTTTACTTATTTTCCCCATCTTTCAAACCCCTAAATAATCGGACTTCACAAATCTTGTTTCGAGGGTAACTAATCTACTAGTGTTGAGTCACATGCAATCGCAGGTCAACGCTCCAGCCCAGTCGACATATTCAGAAGAGTGGACAACTTCAGTTCATCCATTACCATTTGGAGTCCGGGATCCTCCATAAGACCTGCATGCTTCAATGTCCGCACTTTGCTACAAGGGAGCAAACAGGCAGCATCTCCCTGTACACTAGATGCCATATCGATATCTGTCCATCGAGATGAGACCGGAACTTAAGGTCGTGCGACGGTTTGCTTACCTTTTCTACCCACTCAGCTATACCAGCTGGCGCCCCAGCGCAACTTGACAACCATTCCACTTAGGTTTGTCAAAAGTCAGAGAGATAAACGCAGTCTCCCGGCTCTCCAGCATGGGGGTTAGAAATGGAATGGTATCCATTCCTGACAATGGAAACGATGTAGCCTCCGCGCTAGCACGTGCACAGTCTTTTGAAACAAGGGCTTTGGACAAGAACCCAACTCGATCTCCTAACTATGTTTGCGCGCCCTGAGAAAAACCCAGTCTACATATAATCAAGATGCGATAAACTTCAACCACATCCTGTATCGGAAGTCGTGCAGTTGGGTAGATAGGCTAAAACATGTCACGGTTGATGCATCCTTTCTTTATTTTCCACCTGTATCTCCTACCCCACTGCAGACCCTATTGCTACCATTCATCC